TTCATTCTGAAACTGCTCAGTCGTGTCAGGCATGATGAGGTTGGAATTGAAAGTGGTGTTCTTGCTATTACCCCTTATAAAAGTCAAGCTTGACTCGAAAGAACTAAGATTGTGAGGTATTACTTTCAGGGCAGGAAAACAAATGAACTGTTCAATTCTCGTCTACCGAGTCATGAAGTGAGGCTTATCTTGCCTCACCATCAGTTCGAAGGTTCTTGTGCATAATACGATTGCATTCAATACATGTACATCAACTGCTTGACTGAATATGCGGTTGTAAAATAACTTACAATAATCAACCATCAGACACCTGTTCCTCTTGCCTCACTCATTTTCAATCTAGTTTTGGTATGTGCAAACGCATGTCTGAGGGAAACTGTGTCAAAATTATCTGTGCCATACTGATTGCTTGCATATAGTCAATATAATTTGATGCTTCAGAAGCTCGTTTGTTATTGAGAGACATTCTCGGAGAGTATGTGTTACTCTCGATAATGATCAGTCTGTTACTCTCAATAATGATTCTGAACTAGGAGGCACTTTTCTGTTACAAAATGAAGCTCTAAGAGTTCATCCCTGTAAAAATTGATAAGTGCGTATATTCGTTTCATCTGAAGAAGTTTAGGTATCTTGTTGTGAATTAATAGTTTATATTTTACAATCTGTGTTCTTTTTTAGTATAAATTGTTCCGAGACACGGTTGAGTCAGTCGATAGTACTGGGATAATCAGATGTTTATGAATACAAGCCACGAAATTCTCTTGAAGAACGAGATTTTCGGAGCTCAAGTAACCAGCCAAAAGAAATGTTATTCCCTTGGGGATGGCCCTTTGAAACGACAGCATTACAACGATATGACTAAAGCCAGTGAGAACGATGGTTGGGGGCGGGCTGTTGCTGCCAGCGTCCTTGATGGAAGGACTGCGAGAGGGCTTTTTGCCATACTTAATCAATTTTTCTGTTTTCACCCATGCTTCGGGAATTTGACTACCTGGCCTCCGTGTATTTTGGGTGAACTAAATAATCGCGGAAATGGGAGAATCCACAAAAGGGACTGCGTATGGTTTGATTCTGCTAAATCTTCTCAAACGAATCGATTAGCATCCGATCCACTCCGCGAATTCTCGGCACTCATAATTTCCGATTCTGCAGCTCGGCACTGGCTATCAACAAAGGCTCACTGTTTTTTGCATTACTCATAAGCGCCTATAGTTGAGTAACTATCTACTAAAGATTTGTAGTGCCTATGGTTGAGTAATTATCTACTGAAGAATTGTCGAAATTCGATGAGCAACACCAACATATACACAATCTTCTCTTTATAACGTATAGTTTAGAATCATTACAATGACGGGTTTAGATTCACTTACAGTTCTCATCATTGCGGACGGTGGGGCGTTTCAGTGCGGCTGCATTTGGCGCGGTGGCGTACGCGTTTCAGCAAAAAGGCTGAGAAGAACGGTTTCAACAGTGTGCACTCATACTGGCTGACACGCCTCACCGGTCCACAATGATGAGGACTGTAATTACAAATCTCAGCCATGGGTAGAAAAGAACAAACCAATATTCGCAGAGGGTTGACGACGAGAATTAACCGTCATCACACCTTTGCTCTGTTATGGGCTCCCTTTCCGTTTGGTGGGATCATATTTGGCGAAATTGGTACCAGCTTGGATGTTTGAGGAAACTGCTTGTTAAGTTGTTTCCTGCCATTTGAATCTCATCGTACACGGGTGGTGCCAGAATAGTCAATTCCGCCGTCCATTGACAATTCCTTTTACATCTGGAACGGTTCAACAAGGCCCTTTGAGCGCGTTCATACTTCACGACCGCGCGATTGGATCGCTCCAATTCAATCGCGCGATCGCGAATTATGAGCGCGCTTTTAGCTGGTAGCAAATCCACCGAAACTGACCGAGTGCTATTACTGCGACCATAGCTAGCATCTATTAGCTACTTCAACCTAAAAACTAGTAACACGTGATCAAACATGAGTATCTGATCTACCGGTGATAAATGGGCGTATTGCCGCTGAGTGTTATTGAACATGTAACAATATGGTCCAAGTCTAATATGAAAACTACTTAATAAGGATACAAGATTTAACTCTGAACACTTTCATTTCAACTTTCCATTTGATCGATGAGCGAGTTCTCCATGATACTTTTGCAAATAATCCGAAATGAAGCCTATGGGGTCGGCTGGACGGCGCAGAAGCACCTGAAGAGAATTTTTGAATTGTAAGCTTTTCTTAAAGATCTCAGTTTGTCGATGCAGCTTTCACAACAAACCTCGGCGAGCGCTTTTGTGAGCACTGGTGCCACAGTGCGTGCCAGGTAGATGCCGTTCTCCGACGTTGGCATATCGGTGCGACCAAGCACCATCCGCTCAAAACGATTCCGTTCCGTATCATCGTCCTCATCGTTAAGACGGGCGGAATCTACTGGTGAGCTGAACAAAAACATTCTACAGTATCCGATAAGTACCGAGATCTTTTTTTCCAAATATGGCCCCTATCGGCAGCGGAGGTTTAGTGGGGGAGCATACGGGACAGTCAGCTGTCTACTTGTTGACTTCAAAGACAAACTGTTCAGTCACCTTTAACACGTTCCGGACCGCGTGACACACATGGTGTGTCATACATTTTTCTCCCTGCGCCCTTTCATTTGGTCTATGGCATCTTATTCATGCTCCAAAGTTATCAGAACACATTTTTAGGCACAGAATACACACATCTCATAGAAAAGTGAAAGAAACAGGAGAAATCGCTGATTACCGGTCTGAAAAGTGGTCCTCGCACAATGGCACACACGGAAATGAGGCTTAATGGCAGTGCTACATTGGCTGCCGTTTGGGCTGCCGCTGTGCTATCC